AAATTGGAATAGTTTGAGCACAACTAATTTAAATTGTGTTTGCAATAGCATCACTGACTACCACAGACAATGACATTATCTTCTGATTTACAGTGGAACAAAAGACATTGGTAATCTTTTTCCAAAATTAAGAAATTGAAGTTTCTCCTGTAAAAAAACATGCATTTGTCTTAATACTTTTAATTTTCAGTGTCACCGAATTAAGAACACTTACTAAGCCTACTACTAAACAAAGGTGGAGTTAGAAGCTGAAAAGGCACAAACCCTTTTTTTTTTTTTTCAATCTGCTAAGAAAGATCATATGGAAGAAGATGATGACTACTAATTCTGAGAACAGTTACAGATGCAAATTTTCATGGGTATTTTGGCACCAAGAGATGTAAACTAGACTGTGCAAAAGTACTCAATTTAGGTCACTAATTACTTACATTTCTTTGAAAACACATTCTCTGCGATGAAGTACCATTTAATTTGCTATGTTTCTTACATTACTCTTATTCCTTATCAACATTTAATATTTCCTTATCAGATAATTCCGTACTAAATACAAATATGCCATGAAACAAAGTTAAAATCAATGATGTAAATCAAGACTTACCACATGCTGATTAAAATCAATTTACAAAACGTAGGCTTTTATTAACAAGTAGAAATTAATTTCCCATTTTAATGATAATCCTAAAACACATCACATGAATCTCAATATTTCAAGTTTTCCTAGTAAAGTCTCAAAATGTATGGTTTGGACCTTAATATGACTTCCCCCTTTTCCAAGCTCACTTTGCTGTTGCTTTGAAACTGTCTCTCTCTATAAAAGGCACTTCATTCAGTTCAGTCTCCATATCTGGGCTAGACTTCATTGCAGAAACAACCATGGCATCACGGAGTTTATTGCCTTGATCCAAAAGAGCTGAGAAATAAACAGAAGCATTAAATCTTGGCATTCAAATGCAATTGAAAAGCAATGTGTAAACACAATAAATGTGTCGGCTACAGTCAAGAAACTTCTGTTTTCTGCTGTTATAAAGAGATCGTGACACAGTAGAGATTAAGTGCGTGCTACACACCATAAAACAGACAGCACAGCTGGGAGAGTGAGTCTCTATCAGTCTCCCACACAGAGCTGTACAAATAACTCATCTGCACACATCAAGCCAGGCATTACAGGGGCGTTATTAAGATACAGCAGCAAGATTAATTTATGGAAGAGTAGCTTGTTACCTTACGATGTCTCAACAGCAGACTAATTTTAGGTCTCCTCTGTAAATACAAAAAATAACTCAACAGACAACACATATGGAAATGTGCCCTACTTTGATGCTCATTTGAATCCAGTCCAGGTGGTCTGTGATCTAAAAGGGATGCTAACTGGCAGGTAATGGAAAGAAAATAATTTTCCATCTGAAAACGCCAATGGCACAGAAACCCTTCCAAAACCTGTTTGAATATGAGTGTCACCTTTGATGGACATCTTTGATGGACAAGATTAAACAGTCTGTGAAGCTGAGCTTACTTTTCCTTTAACCCTCCAGGTCAGAGAACAAGCATACTGCCAGGGCAGCACACTTTGCCTGATCTGGACCCTCAAGCCACCTTCCAGCATGACTAAATCAATAGTTTTTAAGTAAAGAGTTTTTTGTTACAAGTTTCTGTTTGAAATAATATAGTGAGAGCGTGTGAAGTACCACTTTTCCTTAAGTCTTTTTCTCTAGATAGGCACCTGAAATATCAAGAGCTATTTATTGTGAAATGTAAAAGATGATGCCAATTGTACACAAACCTGAAAGCAGATCTTTTGTAGCTGGGTTATGCAAAGAGAGCACCCGCATGTTTGTTCTAGCAGGTGCCTCAGGATCACTGCTGGTGGGAAATGACACTTGCTGATTTGAAGGATTCACTTTCAAACGTTCATTTGGTAAAATCAGACGGTGATGAGAAGCTGAAAAAATGTCCTTTATGTTTTCAGAGTTCTCTTGAAAGAGCAAATGGTCCTTTCCTCTACTGAAAAAGGAAACATTATTTCTGTAACAACTAAAGTGGATCAGTAAAGGGATTCAAATCTCTTCAAATTCTCCCTGGCACTGCAGCTGCCCCCTTTCAGTACATGCTCCAAAAAGAAATGCGACACGTTATTTTAATGACTCCTCATCTTCCACTTATACCATCAGAGAGACTGATTCAAGCTGCAAATAAAAGATTTGTGGCACCTCTTGTGCCAACTAGCACAGCTTGAACTAAGTCAATGTAGGGTGCAAATATATATCAGATAAGAAATTGTCCCTGTAAGCTCTGACATGCTGAATGTTCTGGATTTCATATAAAATGCACTTTCAAAAAAAAGATCAAGTATTCCATAACTCACAAGTGAAAAGCCATTACTCAAAAAAAGTGTGTGAACTGCAACGTAAACCAGAGTTTTGTCAGGGGGAAAAAAAGATACCTGGGAGTTGGGGCTCTGCTATTGTTGACAGACTCTTGGTCAGCAACAGTCACCCATGTTTGCTGGGACTGCTGTGATGGAGCAAGAAACTGCGGCTTGCTGCTTCCCTGAGCAGGAGCAGTATCTGAGCTTGCATCTGTGGTTGGGATAGAGCTGCCAGTGTCATACAGTCCTGGCAGAGGCTCTAGAACTAGTGAGACCTGAAAAACAGAATGTGAAAATAGTAGTTTGTTCTTTTCCTAATTCAGTGCAACATGTACTGTATTCAACTTTACTTGTTACGCTATGGAAACCTGTTCCTTTCTATACAAAGTAATACTTATATCAAGCAGTTATGTAACATCATAAAGCTGACATATTTACAACTATTTCACATTCCATGTTTTCAAATAACAGGCAACTCTCTTTCAGCATAAATTGTCCAGAGCCAGGGCTGCAAAACAGAACACCATCTTCTTAACCCCAGATTACAAAAACTTCTACAATTTCAGCCCAGTGAGGCTGTGGAGAAGTATTAGAATTAGGTATCTGTTTTTAAATCTGCTGTTAAAACTCACTCTCAGCACAGAGATTACAAATTTTGTTAAATTGAACTACCAATGTCACACATCCTTCTGAACAAAACAGAGTCAACACCGTCAGTATTAATTTTTCATCTTCTATCTTAGTTCACAAATGCCTTGGACAGAGACCAGGTCTGCAGTTTACCTAGTACAGCTTGATCCTGACACCAGATTATACTGGTACTACAGCAACAGAATTTATAATCAAGAGCAAAGACATAAGGACTACCTGCAGCTCTCCTAGTTTATCAGATGTTGGTGAAACTACAGTGAAAACCCCATTGATCGGATGGCTGGGAGAGAGCTGGGACAGTTCAGTGATTTGAGCTCTGCCAATTGGAAGATGATCAAGTTTGGTCATTACCTCCAGGACAAGCACACCCATATCTGCGAAAATTAGAAACAGCTTCATTTCAGTCTCACGCAACATGGTCACAATTAAACACAATTAAAACTTTTGTTAAAATGACAGAGATTCTAAAGGTTAACATAATGTCACATCATGAAATTATGATAAATGAGGCAGCAGGTAAAGAATCGTTATCTGATAATAAATTATGATAAATAAGTACTACTTATGATAGGACAAGAGAAAATGGTTTTAAACTGACAGAGGGGAGATTTAGATGAGATCTAAGGCAGAAATTGTTCCCTGTACAAGTGGTGAGGCGCTGGCACAGGGTGCCCAGAGCAGCTGTGGCTGCCCCCTCTCTGGAAGGGTTCAAGGCCAGGTTGGACGGAGCTGGGAGCACCCTGGGCTGGGGGAAGGTGTCCCTGCCCGTGGCAGGGGGGTGGGACTGGATGGGCTTTAAGGTCCCTTCCAACCCAAACTATTCTGTAATTCTACAAGCACAGGTTTTATGGACAGATTCTAGACATCTGGCTTGTATTAACTTCCTGCAGATCTTTCACTAAATTAAGTACCTTAATAATATTATAAACTCATCTGAGTCTCTTTCTATTCTTCACGCCCTTAGAACACTGAAATGTCTACTTAATGTGGTACGTACAATACTAAAAATCATCAGATATTGACACTACAGGGACTACAGGAGACTTCAACACTTTGCAGACCTGAGTACTAAACCTGACTACGAGAGAGACTGATGCCAGCAATCCCAAGCTGAGATCAAAAGCCTCCTCAATCAGGAAAATGACCTAAAAAGCCTTAAGTGAAAAGAGGGCTGGGGTTACTTGGTGGGTGAATAACTCCTCAGCTTTTGCGGACCTCCCCGCAGCACTGCCCGATAAGGACAAAGCAGGTCTACCTGTCAGGTAAGCAGCGAACTGCCTGGGCCCACAGCGGACAGCATAGCGGGCGGTGGTTTTCTCTGCCGGTTGTCCCGGCCGGGAGGCGGGATGGAAGATGGTGCCATCGGAGGTTTCGCCCCACCACCTCAGGAGGACGAAGAAGGAGGCAGCGGGCGGTTTGGGAGCCGTCCATACTACTCGGGAGACGGTGCAGCGGAGGAAGCAGCGCAGCGGGCCCTCCACGAGCGGCGGCAGGCTGGTGGAAGCGGGGATGTCGACGCTACCTGAGGAGACGAAGCGGGGTGGGGAAGCAAACCGCGAGCTGAGGCGCACTCCTCAACCGTCACTGTCGCTCCCAGACCCTTCCAGACCCACCCCCCCCGTGAGCAGCCCACCTCCCCTCCTTCGGGAGCCCGCCAGGGCGATCGCCCTCAGCCTCCTCTGCTTCATCCCGCCCGGCTTCCCGCTTCTGCGGGAGCGGGACTCCCCCCTCAGAGGGCGCGCAGCCCGCCCTTCCGGGACTACAACTCCCGTCATGCACCGCGCCGCCGCCCCACCGCAACGGCGAGGCGGACTACGTTTCCCAGAAGGCTACGGGAGGGCGCCGGCTGCGCTTCCCGTGGTGCCGCGCGGCGGCGCTGTGTGAGGGGAGAAGGAGGAGGAGGAGGAGGAGGAGGAAGAGGGGGGGAAAGGCTGCTTCCGGTGGGGCGGTGCGGAGCGGGGGCCGGCGGGGGTGGTTTGGGGTGCTGGAAGGGGTGGGTGGGGGGTGTTCGTTCCGCGGTGTGTCCTTGCGTGTGTGTTGGCGTGTCGTTCGTCGTTATGTCGGCCCTGGAGAAGCAGTTGCACCTCGGCCGTCTCCCGCCGCGGCCCCCTTTGCCCGGTGGCGGCGGCCAGTCCGGCTCCAAGATGCGGATGGGGTAGGTAGGGGAAGGGGGGAGGTCGTGGGGGACAGAAGGGGGACAGAAGCCAACAGAGGCGGGGGAAGGATGCTGAGTGTTGCAGGGTGTGAGGGGGGATGCTCGTTGCTGCGGGCCTGGGGGGTCTCGTTGTCAGCTTGGGGGGGGCTCTGGAAGGAGGGGGTGCTCGTTACTGGGGGGCTCTGGAGGCAGGGGTGGTAGTTATTGGGGGGATTAGGGGAAGGAGGTCCTCATTGCTGAAAGGTGGCAGCAGAGGAGAGGGGCCACCCTTGTGTGGGCAGGTTGGGGTGCCCTGTACAAAGGGGGTGCTCTGCCCTGAGTGGAGCTGGGGGTATACTTTGGGGAGGTTGGTTTATTTGTTGCTGGGGGAGATCGGGGGCTGGGGTGTTTGCTGCTGGGGTATTTGTGGGTGGGGGGTACTGATTGCTGGGGGGGGGTGTCTGTAGGAGAGGGAACTTAGTGGGTGGGATGCTTATTTCTGGGGGAGTTGGCAGAGAAAGGGAGGAAGGTGGGTGCTATTTGCTGGGGGGGGGTGGGTTTAGAGTGAGGGGATCTTTGTGCAGGAGTGGCAGCCCCGAGGAGGTGACCAGCAACGTGGTGGGTCTCCCTGGATGGTGACATGATGTGAGAGGCCATTAAGCCCTCAGACTGGCCCAGCTGTTTACTGGATTGCTCCCCAGTGCCCCCAGAGAGCCTTCTCCAGCTGCCTCTCACTGGGAAGGAAGCAGGCAAAGGTGTTGCTGCACGAAGAGTATATCCTCAGTGCTGGGGGAAGGTGGCTGCTTCTGGGATTGCTCTTCAGCAGCCCTTTTCTCCGAGTCCTTTTGCCATCTGTGTTTCAAAGCGTCGTGATTTGTCTGGCTGGTACCTCAAAGTCTGTGGAAGCATGATGGGGGGAGAGAAGTGTATTTAAACGTTATTTCTCAGCAGCAGACGCTTATGTGAAGCTGTACAGTAGGCGAGCTCTGCCAAGTGACTTAAATCCCTGCTTCAGATGATGAAAAATCTGGGATAGTCCAGGACAGATGTCAAATCTTTGAAGCAGAAGTGAGAACCTGTTTTGGAAACTGCGAGAGAAGGTTGACCGGTGTCTAGCTGTGAGGATGGCAACTAAAAAGGACTGACTGGACAAGAACAACCGCGGGAAAAGCTTTATTCTCTAGTGATGAGTCAGAAGGAGAAAATGGGTTGTAAATGGGATGGCTTTGAAATGAATTTTGTAATTTCACCTCCAAAGATGTGAGGGAGAAGCTTGTATTTCAAGCAGGTATCTAGCTATGGTTAAAGAAGAGCAAGATGATCTCGCAGCAGGGTTATGGCTAGATTGTAGGGAGGGGAGTTACAGTTGCTGGGTGAAGCAAAGGAAGTTGGCAATAATCATGGGGACTTGTGCTCAGGATGGGTGCAGTCTCAGAGTGCTGAACATGACTTTTCCGCAGCCCTGTGCAAAAGCGTAGATTTAAGCAGAATGGCAAAAACATGGAGATTTTATTAACTCTAGAGAAAAGGTGTTTTCGGGGCTGCACGACTTCTCATACATAGCTGATTGTGTAAGTATGAAATCGGAGGTATGGATGGTGGCAAAGACCAGGGGTTGATCTTCTGGAGGAACGCCAGCCTTTGTGTGAGAGCTAGCCGCTGCGAGGTCCAGGTGTGCACTGCACGATTCCTGCATGATACGAAGTGCTCTATTTGGAGGATAAAAATATCCTACAATTCCTACAGGAAATCTCCTTTGCCTTGATGCATGAAATCAGATAACTAAAAGAAATAATGACAAAGACAGCTACGCCACTGTGACTGAAATAAACTGAAATACCGAAGGTATTTATCGATGGGAGGGGAATATTTGTCCTCTCCTTTAAAGCATAGTTTTAAAGCATTTATTTCACATCTTACTATTTATATTATATTTGGATAGATAATAATACAATTGATGTAGTTAGTATATGAAATACTAACAAATCTTCATCAAATACTTCTTTTAATATGAATTATTTTAAGGCTAAGCTTCATGTAAGAGTTTAATGGCATGGCTTTGAGGCTAAGCAAAAAAAGTTGTAGTTAAGGATCAATTTTTACTGTTTAGTATAGAATAGGCATAGAATAGAAAGAAGCAGTTCTGAATGACTTTCAGAGGGCGTTGCTCTCTCTCAGGACTGTTGTCTGTTCTCCTGTGTCTCTTCATAATCTGAAATGAGCTGGGACTCATGGGCTCTGTTTCCTGATGTTGTGTTGAACCAAGAGGTGAGGAAGTCACTAAACAGTTCACCACTTTGTGTTGTGGAGAGTCTTGTATTTCTCAGGAGTGTGCTCAAGGTTACGTGATACATATAAGGCTAGATTTAATGTCAAATATATTATTTAACTATGCTGGCTGTGCTCAGAACAGAGTTAACCAAGCAAACCCTTGTGCTGTACAAAGTCTGCCAAACACACAATTTTTCTGTTTTAGGTGAAGAAATAAAGTTTTTATTTCTTCCTCTTATTTTATCCTGTTTAACTTAAGAGTCTCATCCCCTGCAGTTATTTTGTGTAGGTTTGAATAGACTTCATACTGGTTTCATGCATTGTAAACCTTGTCAGCACCCCATCCAATTCTTCCCATACAGCAGTGCATACACCGATGGCACTATAAACAACCACCATGCTTGTTCAGTTAAGTATTCCTACTTTAATAATAAACATAAAAACTTCCAACATTAGTGTTAAGCTGGCCTTAAACAGGATGAAAATAAGTTTGCAGTTTGTCTTGCTGCTGGTGTCAGCTTCTGTCAGTTACTTCCTGAAGGCAGGTGTCTCCATGTTAAATAAAAAGTCAAAAATTAATTTCCTGCAACGCAGGGTGATCCGTGCTCTGAGTCAGTAAGCTAAAGGAGCTGATGCGTTTTTCATGGGCCTCCAATTGAGTGTGTTCTTGCAAAATGATGCCATGCTGCAGGATGTATTTTCCATGTCAGTGTTGTCATTTCTGAAAATCCATCCTCACGACAGTTTTCATTAGAAAAAGAGACAAAAGTAAGGCCAATTAAGTTATGAACTTAATGAGGTGCTGACAAAACCCCCGTGATATTTGTGGCTTCACATACTTATCACAGGTAAACAAACAACTTACAATTGAGCATTTCCAGGGATTTTAAAATGGATTTTATGGTGTATGCCTGTGATGTATTTTTGCATTTTGGTAATATTTATGCTTGTGCAGTGCTCATTAGTAGCAATCCTATATAGTAATTTATATGCTGTTTCCTATCTTGCCAATCTTCGGAGGGTTTTTGAACGTTCTCCATTAGGGAAATGTTTTTGACGGAAAGTTTGTTTGCTATTGTTTTATAATGCTGTTAACTTCTTTTTTTCCCTTTCAAATACTTTCTGAAAGCACTGATATGAAATCCAGTGTTGTGGTTAAGGATCAAGAATTCCCCTGTCCTTCCCCTTCAAAGCAGCAGGGAATACTTCCTAATCTCATTGTAGTTTCATGGTGGAGTTGTATTTTTGGTTTACTGCTCTGACATCTAGTAAATACCTTTATGGGCAATGTTCCTGTTGTGTGAGGCACTGCACATCTGACACGAGAGTGGCCTCAGCTGGAGAGACTTGTGACTTATGGAGACAAGAAGTGAAATAGAAGCAGTGAAGTACAAGTTACGGCGAGGTGAAGCTGTTGTGCTGCAGACACTTTTATGGCTGTTGTTGCAAAGGAGAGCTGCAAGGGAGATCTGGTGGGGTGGTGAGGTGGCTTTTTAAATAGGTGTTGACTGTCCTTTCCGTGTGGGTGGGGTGGTGCGTAGGAGAGCTCCAACATTTGGCTGAAGATGGAGCGTGGGTAATGGATGCTGGTGTAGCAGAAGATTTGGCTCAGGTTTTCAGTCAACATGTTCAAATACCAGGACTGCATGGGATCAAGTTTGTCAACCTATGTTTTTGTGCAATTGTATCATTTTCTTGTCTGGTTGCTGATGAAGCTGGCAGGAGATAAGGGTGGCTGGATGTCAGCATCATCTAGAACCTTGCTTCTGGACCTGATTAGCCTGTAGACTCAATACTTTGTTCTTTTAACCTTTTCTTCTTCTCCCACGATATCTGATCTCTCCTCATCTTAAACTGTGTTTTTATTTTTGGACAGCAGTGCCCAAAATTGGATGTGGAACTTCCAACAGAGGCTTTCACACACCTGTGAACTGGAAAGATTATTTCATCTGCATTTGTAGATAACTTCATTCATATATCTCAGCAAAGCTGTTTTTTTGTGTGTGGTATGACTCTGCTCCCCTACTCAGGTTGTGGGCTACAGATTTGATGTGTGGCTGCTTGCATCTTGTCTGTGCTTGTGTAAGTTATTTCTACATAGGTTTAGTTTAGGCTTAGCTAAGTTTAGCCTTATCAAGATTCAGTTCAATACAAACAAATGCAAGATTCCATAGTCAGGCCACCAAAAGAGAATATGATTAATTATACAGAGAAAAAATGAGTGTGACTTATGGTGTTGGCAAATGTACAAGGCTATGGTGAAATAGTCCTTTAAAATTCAAACTTTTACAGGGAACAAAAATAATTAAACTTAGAGAAACATTTGTTTGCTATGGTAAGCATGTCATATTTATAAATGTATTTTATTTCTGCGCTTAGAATTTATTGAATTGGAAGCAGGGCCATTAAAATGGGTTTAAACTTCATATCCAACAGTGCTGGCAAGCAGATTTTTCCCTGGCTAAATGCTTTGCTTTGTATGCACTGATCCTGATTGGTGTGTTGGATAGTCTTTTTTTATTTCTTCTTTCTTTTTTCTACCAAGTAGGCCATGTTAATGGCCTGTGTGGTGTGGCTGAAAGCAGATCGTAAGAAGCAGAGGGTGGAGCAAGCAAGATTGCCGTAGGAAAACAGAAAAATAATTTACTGCAGCACTGAGGTTTCTCAAGCTCCAGTCATCCTTGACCAGGAAAGCAAGTTACAGGGTAGGATGCTTTCTTTAAAACATTGTTTTCAAGCTTACTCTGGGA